CGATTGAGATATCAATCAAGAGCCTTTAGGTTAATTTCCGCGTCGACCACCAATGCTGAATCTATTGAAGAGTTCTTTACTAACAATGTATCAATCAAATACATATTTATTAAGGAAATAAAAAGCTTCGAAGCTAAATAAACAGACGGAGATCATAATAAGTGTATTTTGGTTTATGATCATTTAATAAGGTGTTGGACAAAGTAAACTAGGAATGAAAACACGAAAACAAGTTATCAGTTGAATGGGTGAATCAAAACAAAAAGATAACAAAGGTTTGATAGATTATCGGAAAAATTATTGAATATCAAATGGGTGGGAATAAGAAAGAACAATAAATAGCTGATCCATAGGCTGAAACACGTATTGATTAATTGCTTTCCATATTTATGTGTCACAATTAAGGCACAAAGAAAGAATTTCCAGCAGTCAAACCAAATAGGCTGCCAAACAAAATGATATAATATACAAATATTATTATACAAGGAACACAATAAAGCAAACAAATTTGAATAATCACCAATAACGAAGCGATCAAGAGATCAACACACGTAACTATCGAATAGATCTCTAGTGAGTCACATATCACCCAACACAAATGGCAGTTAATAAACTAATAAACGTATCGAGAAACGCAACAATTAAAATCACCCATCAACAGTATTTAGAGTCGGAATTAAGCCTCGTAAGAAGTACATAGCTGATATTATAATTAATCACATTCCCACTCGCTCGTCAAAAGGCAGCGATAACAAATAGATCTGATTAGTTAATTGATGGGGGAACCACGTATCAATCAAGCCGACATATTGTGAGAAACAATAAGAAACTGAACTTGGGTGCACTTAGGTATCAATCACATGAAACCAGAAAGCTAACCATTGTAACCATCGTTACCGAATACCAAACCACAAGTGGCAATCGAGTCTAACCTCTGAACTTGATTTCAGTTATTCACTTATTACCCAGATGAATAATCGGAGGCAGAAGGTCTTCCATTTAGTTGGCACTTCAGTGACTTTATACTGGAAAATTGCCTCTGGATTGAGACACAAATTGCCTTACTTCGCCTTAATGCAGGCATATGCAACGCACAAATGATGCACCAACGTGTATATGAGCTCCATTCGTAAATGCATATGTACATATGTACATATGTACGAGTATAATTAAAATTAAGGCTACTTGACTTTTTCAATGACTTCCAGTGTAATAATAAATCAGTGACAGCAAAGGGGGGGTTCCGAGCAGGTAAACACAGTGCAAGACAACATGCAACGGATAATGGGGATTTGAGGGCTTTGAGGGCTTTGAGGGCATCGGGGGGATTCGAAATCAGCGACCGAAAAGCTTACGACTCCGATACCGATACCATCCAGCGATCGATGTGCTTACAAAGTGGAAAAGATCTTGTGGCACAGAGCTTGGAGGCTTGGAGCATATAGTATTAAGTATACAGTATAAAGAAATCGCGACACACAGACACAGTATGCTATATGCTGTATGAAGTACGTGCTAAAAACAGTCGAGTGGCAGAGCAAAACAAAAGCGACGAAAACGAAACACGAATTATGCGATTCAAGTACGAACAAATTTCACATGAGCAGGTTTTAGTTTGCTCATCCATCTAGTACCGGTCTATGAACCACCGAATTATTTTTAAACCCTCCCACTTTTTTTTTCGCTTAAAAACAAAGACCCAATAAACACAATTTAAACAAACAGCAACGGACAATGGCAATTAGCAACATCACTTTCTTAAACGCTGTTTCTGGTTGTTAAGACGACGATTATTATTATTTAATATGCCAGCCGATCAACTAGATGCGGGTTCTGATATAATGCCAATTACAAAATCATTACGCTTGGCCCGTCGTGAGGCAATGCTTAACCTATGACAATGAAACAGCCGGCAATTAAGAGGGGAAAAAACATATAAAAAATCATAATTAAAATAATAATATTTAGCAGTCATACGCACCACATGAGTGTGCCCCACCGAAAGAAGACAAAAGCAGTTAAAAAGCGCCACTAAAAAAAAATTATTAATAAAATGTAGCTTGTGTACTTCAGACGGACGTGCACTAAAAATTCAACTACCCAAGCGCATGCAGCAAATGCGATTAAACAAAGGCAGCTATAGAGTACAATATATGTATATGGTAACTGGCGCGATAAGGTCTCTCAAGTGGTGACCTCACACGATGTGGACCAACGAACGCCGAAATCTTGCACATCCCATCCCGTGGATACACATGCACAAAGAAACCCAGATACCCAGACACAAAGACCCATGTGGCATGTAATTGATGGCCATACCAGTAGCCCAAATCTGAACCCAGTTCGTATATCAGGGACTTTAATGTGGATATGGATATGGGTATACTTTGCGATTAAGCTCCGATAAAAAAAGCCGAGAGTCAAACGTCTAGGCCACCTTGTGACGTGAATAACGCTTTGCGAAATTTCTGCTCGCATCATAAAAGTGCTTGGTTAATACTTTAGATGACTAACAAGCTGGTTTCTTCAATGCCTTGTGTCTATAGCCCTCCGTTTCGGGCCAATTGCCTTAAGTGCTTGCGACGACAGTAGAAATGGGGGAAAAAAAACACAAATTAATTTCGATTTCATCTGGCTACTCTGCCTAGGGTCGTTATGTTTTTAGAAGACGCATTAAAAACGGGATTATAATTAAAAACATTTCCATCAGAAGCCGGTAAACTTCTCAATAGGAAGTTTTTTGGAAATTTTACAAAAACAAAGCCATAACAAGTTTAAAACAAATTTACCTGAATTAATAAACAAACAACCTTGTTTGCTTGGTTCTTTCCCTCATCTTTCACCGGATAAATGTTAAATTTACATTTCGAACTTTGATTATTAGCCCCAACAAGTTTCGTTAGTTTCGGTTATGCATTCAAAGTTAAAATGACTTTAGTCTGTAGCAATTTCAACCTAATTATGGCCTTACAAAACTTTTTAGCCGTTTATTACTCTTTCAATTCAATTTACCCTTGATACAAAATGTAAGTTGTATAAATAAAAATTTAAATCATAGAAATTTAACCTGACCAAAGCCAAATCTGAAAATCTTTAATGTTTGGATATATTTTCGACTTTGAACTTTACACTAATATGTTTTTTTTTATCTGTATAAAACACTTTATCCTTTATAACTCTTTCAATTCAACTTACCTTTGATAAAAAATCTAAGATGTATACATAGTATTAAAAACTTAAATCAAAGACATTATTTTTTTTAGCTAACTACCAAACATCTTCAGTGTCTGGAACTATTGTCGACTTTGAACTTCAGTCTAATTTGGCTCTTCATTTCTGTTTAAAACAATTTTGTACACTTGTAAGGGTATTTACCCATAGCCTTTCGCCCCGACCTTCTTAATGGCTTACTTGTCTAATTGGGATGTTAGGGGCCAGTGCTCCGCGTTTTTTAAAGTGGTAAAATGAAAACTAAAGTCATTGTGAGTAATACGTTTCTACTTTCTGCCGAAAAGAAGGCAAAGGTATCTTTCTGCGACTCCTGATCTGCAGATGACTGCAATCAATAGTAATGGGCAGCTTGGCACACCAACTGTCTAATAAATGTGGCAACAGAAACTACTGTGGCTACTGTGGCAATACAATCTTTCCATTGATTTGGCACGATTTCGGCCAAACCCATTTTACCAGGTTTCTTTGCGTAAGTGACCCAATTTGGAACATGGAGCAGAACTGGGCTGGGAATTGGGTTTTCTGTTATTGGGTTTACTTACCTTTCTGGTGCGAATCAGCTTGGCCAGGTCGACGGCGGGAATCTCGAGCAGGTGGCTCCGGATGGGCGGCAGTTTGCGCCGGATCACCTTGATGTTGGTGTACCGGCTGTAGGGGACCACGAACCAGCTGAAGACGATCATGGCCGAGCGCAGGAAGCGGCGCATGATGTACCCCAGGATCCTGGAACAGAGTAGCACAGCAATTTTGACGCCTTTCTCTACACACTCCACTCGATGGGGGAAAAGGGATCTCCTCCTCTCTGCGTATCTCACGGATACGCCCGATACGTCGATATTCTACACGGTAAACAACAAACACTGCAGTCCAGCAGTCCAGCAGCACAGCAGCCAAACAACAGGTTGCCAGGATTGTGCAATCCGCAATCGGCAATCCGCAGCTGACGACTGCAATCGACTTTTTGGATTGCACAATTTTTGGGGTACGGGTACACGGGTATGAGTATGGGTACGACAACGAACACAGCTCAGATGCGAGATGCCTTTTGGTCAGTTGGCTAATAGTCGAGTGGCTTTCTTGGCTGCATTGGCAACTGCTTAGTGGCTGAGATGCACTCGCGAAAAACTCAAGTTGGGGCGCTGCCGACGCATGCGCAGCCTTTGGCCGGCTTTCATTTTGTTGCACTGTTGCGCTCAAAAATCACTGTCTATCTGTATCTTCTCAATCGGCATATGCAACTGCATCTGCATCTGCATCTACAACCGAATCGGTATCGCTTTCAATTTCTGTCTATATATATATAGATATATATGTATATCTGGCGGATGCACGAGCCGAACCGACGCAAACGAGGCGAGCTGAGTAAATAAACGTTGGCCCAGCTTGCCGCCTAGTATTTAAAGCCCGACTCTCCGATCTCTCACAAGTTCGAGGCATTTCAAGCTCGTTCTCTTCGACTCTCTTAAGGCCTGCCTTGCACAGACAATCGCTGTGATTCCCCACAATGGCCCAAAGGAATTGGCCATATTGCGAGCAAGTGCGTCATGCCACAGATCGACAATTACAAGACCCGAACTGAACTCCTGATCCCCAGTGATTAAAATGCTATCGCCTTGTTTACCGCCGCGAACAAAGGGAGGACCTCTATCGTTAATTACACACATCGGCGGCAGCCAATGAGCTATGGCTATGGCTATAGCTTTAAATCGAATCGGGCAGTTAAAGCTATGTATGCTGCTGACCCCAGAGTTACAGATTCGGCTCAACCTGAGATCATCGCACACAGAAACTGCTACGTCATTCAGAAAATAAATATTGATTTCACCAGGCGAGGTTTCCGGGGGAAAAGGCACCGCTGGAAATGCACTTCCAAGGAACTAGAACCTTGAACTTATTGTTATAACTCGGTAACAGGTGAGTTGTTGGATTGAAATAGGTATGTATTAACTAAAATTAGCTAGAATTATACACAAGAGAAAATTATTTCGTGGCAATGGGGTGTTAAAATGCAAGTCGACTTTTAACTGATAGGAAATTATAGTTCGCAAGATAAAAACACTATATTTTATAATGTTTTTAGAAAGGGAAAATAATTAATTAAGATTGGATAGATCCAAATTGGGTCTTGTACTTTAAAAACACTTACGTTCTTGCGATATCTGAGCCTATCAAAAAACAGTTCCTATTTATTACGAATAAGTTTGTTTATAATATATTGAAGCATACAGCTGTGTTAATTAAATTTGAATAAAATTCTTTTTCTGTGCAAAAATCTTAGTTAATTGCCTGCGCGTGGATGAACTAGTTGTATCCATCAATTAAGATAGCTAAAGTTAGTATTTACAGATCACTGATCCGTCTGACACTTATAGTAAGCATTCAGGCGTAAGTTATCCAGCCAAGACATTCAAATTGCTTTTTAATTGTGCTGGTCATTACGAAATAATTGCCCCATATTAGGCTCTAAGCTGGTCAATTTTTCAAGAAAAACAAATGCGTGTTTTAGTCAGTACAAATGGCTTTCAGCCCGATCGTTTAGCCCAAGATCACGCTATCCAAGATGTCAGCAAGGTGATATAATCCGAGTACAGAACAAAATAAGCCATCACGATAATAACTTGTCTCGATGTGCGATCTGTACTTAATGATATGGCGTCGGGATGACTAACCTCTTATTACACTGTGGCCAGCAATTGAAATTCGAAAGGATTCCTGACATTCTAGGTGGAAACTCCCCAAGGTGAATCGTAAACAAAAAGAGAGTTGGTTTTTTGGGGCTCCGGTATCTGTACACTCTATATATCTCAGAGTTAAGATAGTGAAAAAGCTCACACTCTTAGATGGGTTTTAAGAGAGCGACCCCAAAAGAGAGAAGACATGGAGCTTCTGTCGGCTTTCGGATGGAGGGGCACTTTCAGTGACGATAAAAGTGAACGCGGATCAAGTTGGGCCGCAAAACTTTCCACACTAGCATAGCTGTCAGATTAGTTGACCCACAAGCAACAACAAAAACAGAAACAAAAAAGAACCATGTTGTTGTTACAGAATTTGCGACTCGGTCGGGGATTTGTTAATTACGGAGTTTGCCGCCAGAGCTTGAGAAACTTTGCAGCCGCTGGTGGTGATAAAACCAAAGGCCCCGCTGATAACAATGCCAGCGAAGTGGACGAACGACACCCGCTGCATGGCATCCGGATTTTGGACCTATCGCGCATCATCGCCGGCCCCTACTGCACCATGGTACTGGCGGATCTCGGGGCGGAGGTCATCAAGGTGGAGCGTCCGCACTTCGGCGACGAGGCCAGGAAATGGGGGCCACCCTTCCTGGAGAACAGCAAAGATGCCGCCTATTTCCTGGCGCCGAATCGCAACAAGCGGAGCATCTGCATCGACATTAAGCGCGGCACACGGCTCCTGCATCGGCTGGCCGAGATTAGCGACGTGCTGGTGGAGAACTATGTGCCCGGCACCTTGGATCGCTACGGTTTGGGCTACGAGCAGTTGCGTAAGGTGAATCCGAAGCTGATCTATTGCTCTATGACGGGCTATGGCTCCGTGGGACCGTATGCCAAGCGACCCGGCTACGATGTGATTGCCTCCTCCGTGGGCGGACTGATGCACATCACCGGGGAGCAGGGTGGACCGCCCAGCAAGGTGGGCGTGGCCGTGACCGACATGTCCACGGGGCTCTATGCCCACGGAGCGATTCTGGCAGCCCTCTATCAAAGGACACGCACTCAGCGTGGCCAGAAGATCGAGGTGAACCTGCTGTCCACCTGCTGCTCCCTGTTGCTCAACGTGGGCAGCAACTACTTGAACTCGGGAGTCGAGGCCGGCAGAATGGGCACTGCCCACTCCAGCATAGTTCCGTATCAGAGCTTCAAGACGAGGGATGGCTATCTCACACTGGGCACCGGCAGTGATGATCAGTTTCTGGACCTTTGTCGCCGCTTGAATGTGGAAGAATTGCCCCGGGATCCGAAGTTCAAAACCAACAAAGATCGTGTCAAGCATCGTGATGAGCTGATCAATATCTTGGAGCAAATGCTAGCTGGGGATACATCCCGCAACTGGATGAAGCTATTCGAGGGTGCCTCCTTTCCCGTGGGTCCTGTGAACTCTATTCCCGAAGTGTTCGAGGACGAACACATTAAAGCAATTGGCCTGGTCAAAACTCTGCCACACCCTAAAGATGGATCCGTCAAGGTGGTCGGACCTCCCGTGGTCTTTAGCGAAGGACGGAACGATGCTCGGACAGCTCCTCCGATTCTGGGCCAGCATACGGACGAAGTGCTGGGAGAACTTTTGGGCTTTGGGCAGGAAGAGCTAGACCAGCTGAGGAAGGATAGCATTATTCAATAAACCGTCTAGGTTTTGGAGGGAGATAAACTACAAATTTTACGGACATATCTCTGGATCTCTCAAAAGAGTAACAACGAAATATGTATCCTAGTGAAGAAAAATTTACCTTTAAATCTTTTAACCAAGTGACTGCCTTTTAGTTATAAACACAAAATTATTAAATTAAAAAAAAACCTTCGTAAATTAAATGCTATCAAAGCTTATCATCCGGTTGCACACAAAATGCTAAAAGATCTAAAGTAAATTAACATGTAATTAGCTTTATTTCCGGAGGCTTCGCTTTGCTAGAAATTCGTTCCAACTTTTTAATTCTACGTCGGGTCAGAAGTCATGTAAAAAGGCCAAAGATTACTTTTAACTTTCAATCAGTTCTGTGTCGTAAAGTTCGAACCTTCCCTAATATACAAATTAGCAGTGATTTGAATGGTGCCGATTTGTACTTAGCTCAAGTGCGAGCCATAAACAAGCATATGGTAAAAGGAAATTGATTTTTTAGTGCCCTTTAATACAGATTAAATGTTTTTAAAACATCTCTCGTTTTTTTATACCCTTGCAGAGGGTATTATAATTTCAGTCAGAAGTTTGCAACGCAGTGAAGGAGACATCTCCGACCCTATAAAGCAAACTAGTCTCTCAGTTTTAAAGCTATCTGCATGAAACTTTCCCAAAAGTTGTCTTTCTATTGCAGGTAGTATATAAGAACGGAACGAGACGGATCGGACGACTATAGCATATAGCTCCCATAGGAACAATCGGAAAAATAAATAAAAAAAATGATAACTTTGCTGTTTTTCATTTTTTTGTTTAGTTCTTCGACATATAATAATTGTTAATTATTTCAGAATTACGGTTTAAATTTCATCAAAATCGGACGACTATATCATATAGCTATATATCAATCGGAAAAAATTAAAAAAAATTATAACTTAGCTGTTTTTTAATTTTTTTCTTAGTTCTTCGACATATAGTATTGGTTAATTCTTTCAGAATTACGGTTTAAATTTCATCAAAATCGGACGACTATATCATATAGCTCCCATAGAAATAATAAAAATATATAAAATAACTATCAATGTTTTTAAACATATACGCAAGTAAATCATAATTTTAATGTTTTCAAAAATTTTTAATTCTTGCAATAGCTGCAAGGGTATATGAACTTCGGCAAGCCGAAAGATATTTTGGATTAGTTGTTTTTGCATGGTCGTAATACGAATTATATAAAAAATATATCAATGATTTTATAAATAAGTTTAAGCTTTATATTTCCTTATGCAGGTCTTTAAAATCACTTTGGCAGATGCTGATCACCAATAGTTTTATAAATGTGTATACTTTATAAGGGGAAATTGATCCTTTCGGTCATAAAATCAGCATTTGACAAAAACTCCCTATGACAAAATGAATGAGACTAGTAGCCATTGTCTATGTTGTTAGGCAATACACCAAGTCGAGCAAAGTGCTCCCAAATGGGGCAGGTGCTGTTTCAGTGCGTTGCCTTCGCCGAAGATGCCGGTAAGCCCTTCCATGAGCCTGGACCCTGATCCTCTGATCCGAAGATCCCCACAGTTCGGCCCCCATCACATTCCCTGGCGCCAGCGAACGCGTCGGCAGAAGGTGATAATCGTGACATTTTACGCTTTGATTCTGGCCCTGATCCTTAACGTGGCCGGTTGGCTGGCGTTTCTCTGTGTGTTCCAGCAGGCGGAGAAGTATCGCAGCAGGAGGTCCGTCGATTAGGAGGATGAGAGCGAGGACGAGGGCGAAGGACAAGGTCACTAGCGGGCTGGCTTACCTGGAAAACAGCTCCTCCAGGTGCAAACGGGCAACGGCCAATATTGATTTCAACACTGCCAAAAGGAGGAGAGGTTGAGGATTGAAGGCAGGTGGCAAAACAATGGGTGGGAAAACTCACTCGCACAGTTCAACCAAAAATACAACAGTATACTACTATATAGAGGCGCGTCCGTTCGCCGAGAACCAAAAACTAACACTAAAACTAAATTCGAAATTGCAGGTGCTGTCCAAAACAGAAACAATAACAATGCGACGGCGACGACGACGTCGACGTCGGCGTCAATAACAGATTGTTTGCCTTTGTAGTGTTGTTGTGTGCGCAAAGTGCATAGACCGCATCCGAGTCTTAGCCTCCAGTTTGGCCCCAAAGTAATACACCGCCCCTGCCCCCTATCCAATTCGATCCGGGTGTGGATTTCGCACTTAATGGGTTATATAGGGAAAAAGATGAGTTGGATTGGAGACACAGTGGGCTTAACAGTTATTTACCCTCTGTCCGATTAGTGTGGCCAGAGCGGGTCCTTAAACTTGAATTTAAGGTCGTACCTTATTATTATATTTAGCTTATCTGCAATATATTTTTTATTTATTTATTTATATAAACAAAAATAAACTATTCCATAAAATTTGAAAAAAGTAAAACAAAAAGCATATTTTCAAAAAAAATTGTTTATAAAAGGCGAAATGAAGATTTTAAACTTAATTAAATATAACTAAATTTAATTCCTCCACAGTGTCGTGTCATTAATCTATTCAAACACCTTAACCACATGTGTTATCAAAACCAATGACCGCAACGAGCTAATGACATAGGGATGCTTATCTGCTCAAACAAGTAAAATCTGTAAGTCACAGACAACGACTTAAAAGTCTTTCTGTTTCCCATTATTATCCCCAAAGACTTGGACTTTGAACCAAGCTTGGAGAGATAAAGCCTTAGTTTAAACCAATCGGCAGTTTTGGCGCCTAATTTTTATTTCAGTATTTTCCGTAGTTGAGATAAAGCTCTTTTCCTAGTTCGGTCACATCACCCATGTTGTTTAAAGCTGTTAAATAATAATAATTTTGTTTTACGCACTTTGTAGAGATGTCCAAGCAACCGTCTTTTGTATCGCGCAACCTGGTGGCCATCGTAATGATCCCCAGTCTGGTGGGGATCCATCTGGGCTGGAGCTACATGCAAAACAACCGGAAATTGGTCACGGAGGCGGAACAGATCGACATGCCGCCGGTTACGGTTCGTTACTACCAATCCTTAAGGTGATCTCTTCAAGACAGCACTTCCTTTTTGTTTAGTTTGCCAGATTTGTGTGGAACAAGCTGACGGGAGGTGGAAATCCGACGGAATGACAACGGCACTTGTGATGAGCTTAAAACATACAATCTATTTATTGTATAGCATAATTAAAACTACATACAAACGGTATGGTACATTCAGATGCTGGCCGGGCGACAAATGCTGGCCAGGCTGCAGGTTGGGACACAGACAGATTGGAGAGACAAATTCAATGACTACATAAACTAATCCTAGGGACGAGGGAGATTACTGTGTCAGAGCCGAGTTGACGGTGAGGTTATCCAGCTGGGCATTGAACAGAACATCGCTAATCAGCTTCTCGGCGACGATCCGCTGTGTGGGATTGATGGCGCGCAGCTTGCTGGCCACATTCACGCCAATGGCATCGTACTCATCGTCATGCCGATGTGAAGTACTCGGAGCTGCTGTGGTGGTGTAGGCGGTGGTACCGGCATTGCCAAACAAGGGCTGGTAGTGATCGCGTCCTATTTGGATCGTGGGAACGCCCTGGCTGTGGCCATTGGCCTGCTGCAGATGCAGCTGCTGCTGGTGATGCTCCAGTGAGTTGACCGCCTGCGGGGGATGGGTTATTTAAAGGTAGACTCTTAACATTTCTGGCATAGCTGCAGTTACCCACCTGTTGTATTTCTCGCTGGGAGTTGGAGTCCAGGGAGGTGATCTCCAGAACCTTCACGGCATGACCCTGAGCCGCCGCCGCCGCTATGGAAGTCTGGGCTGCTGCATGGGCCACTAGTTGGTGTTGGTGGTGCGCCTGAGCTGCTGCCGCCGCCTCGGCCGCCTGATGCTCCTCGCTTTTGACCAGGGTTACACAATCCGCTGGCGTCACCGAAATGGTGCTTAGGGTGGCGCCTTGGCTGCTGACCACAACATTGCTGGCCGTGGCCGACACCTCCTCCACTTCGTCCGACGAATTGGGCATTATTGAATCCATGTGCTGCGACTGGGTGCCCGTGTGATGTGATTCGTCCTCGAACTCCATGGACTCCTCGTCGTCGAAGCTAATCTGCAGTTCCCGTTTGGGCTTCGTTCCCAATTCGTGGCGCTTGGGCTTGTGATCGGCGATGAAAAGCAGTTTGTCGTAGTACCACAATCGCGTCTCGTAGTCGTTTTTACTGGTAGTTTTGCGGAATTCCCTCCGAAAAGCGGAGCGTAGAGAGTTGATTTTTCTGTCGAGGGTAAATTGGCGTTACAGGATGTAAAGAAACTTCGGAGCTCGGACCCACCTAACCACCATTGCCCTGTCCGGATTGGGCTCCACTTCTTTTAACTTCTCCACCAGGCGGTCGTAGGACTTGTTTCTCGCTGCGTGGTTGCTATAGTCGTTGTGCTTCGGCTGCCACAGGCACTCCTCCTCCTGGTACTGCTCGATGAACTCTGTGAGCCAGTGGCGCGAGTAGGAACGCAGGTCTACGTTCATGATCCTCTTTTAATCGCTTTTTATTTGGGTTCCCTCAATTATTTTTGGTTTTGTTTTCGCTGCGTCTCGCGTGAAGTTGGCTGCGTCAGCTAGGCAGGGGGTTGCCAGACCGCCAACTATCACCGAGCCGATAACAATCAAGGTATTTGACTATTTAAAAAAAATGTTTTAATCAGTTTATCTTAAGTCTTTATCTTAGGCAATATATTTCTGTTATTTTTATTAACATATTATAAATATCTACAATTGCTTAACACTTTCACTGTGCAACCGTTTATCCGGCCCCTTATTGGTCTGGCAGCGCTGACTTAAAATTTATTAATTGCCGTGCGGTAGCCCTCCGACTTTTCCACGGTCTGGTAGCCCTCTCCCGATGTTTTTGTCAATAGCTCTTTGGAGCTTTCCCGAAACAGGCATAGTCGCGCGGAAAATGTTTATTAACAATTAGGAAGCAGCCGAAATTGAGAAATTAGCCAACTTGTGGTACAGTAAATAAACACCTAGTGTCTTTAAAAGTGAAAATCAGTGCGCGAGGGCCAGTGTTGTTGTTATTGTTGCCAAGGCCGAAGGAGCGAAAAAGAGAGGCCGAAAAAAGGAATCTGTGCTAACAAAAACAAAGGTGCGTGTGGGGCCTACATACACACACACAGTGATACATATATGTATATAATTTGTTGTTCTCGTTTTACCCAATTATATAAGGTGTCTGTGTATGAGTGTGTTTGTGATGTTGCAACTGTTTAATCAGTAGTAAACAAAAGAGATAACTGATAAATTGCTAAGAGATAAATCTCGAGGATTCCGATTTAAGAGATTTAAAAACAACCACAACACTAGGCGAGCAACAGCTGTTTCCCCGCCCTTAGCCAATTCCAATCAGATTTAAGTCACGTAGTATTCTAACCAGACTTCCAACTTAATTTGTAAACAACAAGCTAAAACATTTCGTTTCGCATTATTTTCCAAGCAAATAGCATATGCACAGGTGTATGTGCAAATTAAATTTCTGTCGTATTTACATAGATTTCCATTCGCCCAGTGATTTTTCAAGGAGTACAAAGTCCAATCTGAAATGATGTTGAAACTTTACGATCTGACCCTCCCCCAACCCCTCAACCATCGCGAATCTATTTATAGCAATCAAATTTCATAGCTAGCACATAAATGGAAAATACTAGCTGGATAAACTGGATCCGTAGTAAACCTCAACCTTGACTGAGTGCAAAAGCAGAGAAAAAAGTGCAAAAGTTCCGCCTAACGAGCTTGTTTACGTTTATCAAGTGCCGGCAACAACAGCATCCAGTGCACAGTGGTTGAGAAATGATTTTCATTGGTGGAATTCCTTATCAAAAAACACTTTATGGGGGCTGATATCAAAGAGCTTAGCGAGAGTCACAACAAATCATAGTTGAGCCCCATCAGAAAGCATGCAAAAATTGTAAGACTATTTTCGGACTTAACTTTTCTAGATAAAAGGGCCGAAACACATTTACAGTTCAGTAAATACTATAGAAAACTTTTTAAAATCGCTAAAAATATAAATTTTTAAAATTTAAATATTTTCCTGAGTAAGAGTTTATCAAAAAACTATTTTTGTTTCCATGCGTAAATGCCAATATTTGACTTTAAATAGGTTTTTGTTAATAGGATACAATCAGTCTTTCGTTTACCCTTTAGATTCGAAATGTTTAATATATACACTGGGGATATACAAAGTTTTCCATTTACCAATATCCACTGTACGTCCCAGAACCTGTCTATGGACGCAATCACGTTCAAGGCTTCAGTTTTCAATTCATTTTCTATTGCGCTGATGAACGCTTCTGCTCTTAAAGGTTTTCTGCACCGGCTGCTCAATGAAAAGCGTTTAATTTTAGCCGCGCTCAGCTGTTAAACTTGGAATGGTGCCCAATCCCCAATCCCCAGCACACCCAGTGCCGCCCACAAAACACACGTGTTGTTTGGTCAACGCACTTCGCACACTCAGTTCCCTTTTGAATATTCGGCATGATAATTGTTTTGGAGGTGTGTGCCACACATAGACAAGCACCCACTTATATACTCGTTCTGCTGATAATTGGGTGCTGTTTGCTTTTTAAAAAAACGAACGTAGCCAACCGGTTTGCGGGCTCGTTTAGCATTTGGTGCGAACAAACAACGAGAGCGGGTCGATCGATCTCTTCTGGAACACTCCTCCTATCTATTGTAAGACGCAATTAACAGCTGGACAAGCCCTTATCAATTCCATTCCGGCTGATTAACCCGGAGAACTTCATAATCGCTGGCCAAGTTTCGCACTCCAGTGGCAGAATGACTCGACTTGGGGCCAAAACAAAGTTCAATTGCCAAGTTGTAGTGGGCGAGATAGCTTGATATTGGTCAATATTATTGGTTCGTTCGCCGGCTGTGAAAAGCAATTTAAGTGCCTATTTTTGAACCTATGCCAAGGGAGAAATGCTTTTGTCAATTACGAAACAATTGTGAGAGATGAAAATTTGCATGAACTAGCGAATTGTATTTTGCTATCAATCATGTTTGCTTTATAAATACACCTGCACCCAAAATATTTTCTATTTTGTTTATTATAATTTTAAAGCGATTGTCTCTCAAATCATTTTCCACTAACTGCACGCTAGTGTTTTGTAGTTCACTTAATAACAAACCGAACAACAAATCACGGAATTGCACCTTAACTATTGTTTACAATGTTCATAAATCTGTAGGTGCCAAATAAAATAATTTGTTTATTAAGACAGTTATATTTTAGTAACAAGAAAAAAAGTTACATTTAGTAATCGATATTTTAGAGATAAATAAATTTATTTACTACCAACGCAATATGTTTTACTTATTGCTATGAACTATTTGCTTAGGACTTAACTTTTCTCAAATGATAGGTTTTCAAAGAAACAACTAAATAGTAACATCTTTAAACTAATTAAAAAACTAATTGAATTTTTGTTTTGTTCCCATTATAAATATGAACAATTTAGTTAGTTTTTCTATTATTTTGTCTGCTGCTGCACATTTGCGCCCACACGCTGGGAAGTCTTATAAAAGCGAAGCAATTTTCGGCTGGTTTAGATTAGTTTTTGGCCATATTGAGGTCTTATCAGCGGTCGCGATAAGCCAACGCTTTTAGGGGGCAATATACTTGGCTTGGATTGATATTCAAATTGATTTCAGGTCCCCAGCCAGAGTCTGCCATGAGCCGTCTCCTGGAGAAGCCCAACATCGCCATGTCCATCAAGTCCACGGGTAGTCAGCTCTCGAGCACGGTGGCCACAGCCGCGACGACGTCGCCCTCGGAAGCGGAGGATGCGGACACATCCCGCACTCAGCTGGCCCCAACCGAAACATCACCCGCCTCCACAGCCAGTCCCAGCGTCAATGTCACACCCAGTAAGTAGACCCCAAAGATAATCATGTATGTGATTCCCTATTACCACTATAACTTGTGAATCGTGAACTATAATTTTAGTGTACTTAAGGTTAAATTTATAAGGGATTTTGTTAAAAGTTCAAGCTTTAGTTTGTTAAAGTATTCCTTAACCAATAACACGATTGTTAAAAAACTATATTCAAAAAATGGCACAGTAGGCAGTCGGTAATCAGTTTTAGCATAAACTAATCATATTCTGGAGCACAATAAAAATTATGTGTGATATTGCTTATGAGTACAGAATTGATTGGTTTGTTTGATTATAAGGATTGATGTCTTTCCATTTGTTGATCTATAAAGTTGATGCACCTTTAGGTATGGAATGCTGAGAACAATATGTTGTGATTAAATCAATTTCAAAGAAAAGACTTAATATTGGTAATATTGCTTTGTCTTTTTAGTGCGTCACAAAATCGACCAGGTGGTGATCAGCCTGATTTCTGGAGCGGCGGCGGGGGCGCTGGCCAAGACGGTCATCGCCCCGCTGGACCGCACCAAGATCAACTTCCAGATCCGCAACGATATTCCCTTCTCGTTCCGCGCCTCGCTGCGCTACCTGCAGAACACCTATGCCAACGAGGGCGTTCTGGCCCTGTGGCGGGGGAACTCGGCCACGATGGCCAGAATCGTCCCATACGCAGCCATACAGTTCACGGCCCACGAGCAGTGGCGCCGCATCCTGCATGTGGACAAGGATGGCTCCAAGTGAGTTTTCCATTACTGCGCCATTGATTTGGGTGATTAACAAACTGGTTTTCTGCTTACAGCACCAAAGGTCGTCGGTTTTTGGCGGGCTCCCTGGCAGGAATCACCTCCCAGTCGCTGACGTACCCACTGGACCTGGCCCGCGCCCGAATGGCAGTCACAGATCGGTATACAGGCTATCGCACCCTGCGACAGGTCTTCACCAAGATCTGGGTGGAGGAGGGTCCGCGGACATTGTTCCGTGGCTACTGGGCGACGGTTCTCGGTGTGATTCCCTATGCGGGCACATCCTTTTTCACTTACGAGACGCTCAAGCGGGAGTACTATGGTGAGTACCAATTTCCTCAGGGAAATTAGGACGAGTTGAAGATTCTTTTAGATGATTTTATAATTACTTTTGACTATTGTTTTTAGTTTGAACAAAAGTAACAGCTCATTCTGCATCATAAATTTAATTTTAAAATAGTTAGTAGACATACGACAGTTCACTGACAAATAACAAATGTTTTACACCTATTATTTAAGTTTGTGCTAAGAAACTTTAAAAAAGAAAAGCGTAAAGCCATTGGTTGAGCAATATTTCAAAGATTCATTAGCAGTCATAAATTCAATGTATTAATTCCTTAAAAAAGGGTTCTATGACTAAAGCCCATGATGATTCAGAACCGCCTAAATATTTAAACAATTGCTAAGTGGGCTTACTAATTCAACTAATTGGTTTGCTTGCAGAAATGGTTGGCAGCAGCAAACCGAATACGCTAGTCTCGCTGGCATTTGGGGCTGCGGCAGGTGCCGCAGGACAAACGGCTAGCTATCCATTGGACATTGTGCGGCGAAGGATGCAGACGATGCGGGTGAACACGGCCAGCGGCGATCGCTATCCAACCATCCTGGAGACGCTCGCAAAGATCTACCGGTTTGTGAACATGTTTGCTGTGAGATTGGCCGTCTTTTAAATGAAAAAAATAAAACCCTTTGCAGCGAGGAGGGCATCAAGAACGGCTTCTACAAGGGTCTCAGCATGAACTGGATCAAGGGCCCCATTGCCGTGGGCATCAGCTTCTCCACCTACGACATGATCAAGGCGTGGCTCACCGACCTGAGCCACCTGAGGCGAGGGGGGATTGATAAGTAGCCTCTGCCACTGGTCACCCATAAACACCACACCAAAAACGCACTGCTTTGTTCTTAAGTCTCGTGATCGATGGATAAGTTGAGGAGATAGAAGTGCAGCACCGACATGCTCTAATTGTTAGATATTTTTAGCTGTTAGTTGTGAGAGAGAAGCGACAAAAAGAAGACACCCGAAAGCGCTTAACTTTGTTATTAACCATTATTGATTTATTATCGCCGTAAGCCGAAAGTATATCAGCCAATAAACCGTCTGAATAATGACTCGCCTCTCGAGGACTGGTGTTGCTTGGACAATAACTTACCGTACACGCCGTTCGTTTACTCCTAGACTAATGATTTACTTTGAACAATTTGTATATTGTGTATTTCCACCTCGATGTCAATAAGCTGCTAGGTTAAAAATTGCCATGAATTTAAGGGTGTTCACCAGCGAAATCATCTTATGCATATACTATGTAATTCTTATATGTTAGTGTGTTTTTATTATTAAAATTTACAAACTTGTTTAATCATTGGGTTTTCTTGATGATTTTGAAAACGCGCGCGCAATATCGTGGGAGGTGGCAGCACGAGCGATTAACCGATAACATTTTTTTCGTGGGTGCTGTCATCGAAATCTCTATTGACTAGTCGCGTTCGCAAAATTTCAAGTACGCAAAAAAACGAAAACAACTTTTTAAATTTCTTTCAAAAGGTGATATTGAAGTATAAGTGCACTAGAATTGGAGTTTTTAACAGCCGCGGGCTGCAGGCGGTGTTTTCATTACCTGAAAAAGGGGTTTCCTTTGCCACCTGCCATTCGCGAAAAGGCCATAACCAAAAAGCCAATCTGAAAGGTAAGTTACTGGGCAAAAGTGGAGAAAATAAATTATTCAAAGCCTATTGATTTGATGGGACCCATCCTTATACATCCCCCTCTTCGAGCTCCACCCCCTCGCGCTGAAGTGGGCGGCATGCTTGCTTGTTGCTGCGCACAACAGGTGAAGTTGTAGGACCTTCTGTTTATGTATGGAATACAAAAGCGTAGACAAAAGAAAAAAAAGTAATTGAGTTTTGGGTAACCTTGACTTTGGGTGGACAAATCAATTAAATGCAATTAATTGCACCGCTACTAAGTTGCATGTGTTTGTGCGAACAATCGGCGCTTCTTACTCAGTGGCGCACAATAATAAAAGCAAAACACGTGTAGATCCCCCGTTTGTTAAGCATTTGTTTATTGTCATTTGCTCAGTAAATAGTTTATTTTTTGCTATTAACATTCATTGCTGTTGAATTAACAGTCTTAATAGGTTCGAGTCCGGTCTATCTGATCTATCCACCTGCTGAATTTTCTAGTATTTTTTTTTACATCAGTGAGGTTAAATTAACAGAGAAATGTTAGGAAATCGTCGAACTAGCAGAGAAATTTTAGAATATCGTCGAACTAACAGAAAGAGAGAGAGAGAGAACTATCGATGTTTTGCCACCACCGACGAACATCCAATCGTTTTTTTTAGCTACTCACCGCATTCGTTCAAAAGCGGAGCAATTTTCAAGTGCGCAACCAGTTGAATTCTTTTGCCAACTTTGAATTCGCGAATCGTAGATAGACTTTGTTTTTGCCAGGACTCTACGTTTGTTTAATTCAGTGTGCGTGTGCGTGTTGTCCCGTCTCTCTCGCACTGCGTGTGCGTGTGTGTGAGGCGAGCGCGATTTAAAAATAAAACGGCAAATACATAACAAGAAAATATCCAAGAGCAACAGCGGGAGGCTACCAATACAAACATCCCGATACCAGCCAGCCGTGTGTGATTACACAGTGTTTCTTCCTGGTGTTTGTATACCAAAGGTAAATAGAAAATGGGGGAAAAGAGCAAAAATGGGGGGATGGATGGGGTATATTTATGCACGGGTGGGAGGACTCTACTGCATTTGTAGGTGGGTGTGTGACCGAGAGGCCTTCACGAAGGTTCTTTGCATTTTAACCACGAAACCAATGCACCATCATCATGTGTTTCCACTTCAACCTTTATTTATACATAAATACACTCACACATGTGTGCAACGCGCTCCTGTTTCTTATTTTGCTTCGTCTTCCCCGTTCATTGTTGTTTCCTGGAAAGCCCATAAAAACAAAGGCAACAAGAATTTCGAGTGCAATAGCACAAATGGCAGCAACAACAACACCGCTATCGAGTATATTAGCTGTTCCTCATCTAACCATCCCACTCGCACTCCTGCACAGGGGAAAATAAGTAGCTTGTTATCAAAAGAAATGCGCAGGTCAAAAATTAAAAATTACATTGCCTTGTATTGAGAAACCTTCTATTTTTCTTATTTTGGAAAAAATGCAATTTTTAGTATTTTCGTTAAATATATTTCAAATTAAAGATCACACATAAGATGGCCCAAATGTTAGAGCCTAAATTATAATTTTCCTATTGAGAAAATGGAAATTTCTTATATGGTCTCCGTTAAAAGCCATCAAATTGATGAACTTACAAATGTTTTTTTCTGTGCCTGGCGTATCATTCTCATATTCACATGCTACTCTTGCTTTCTTACCTCGCCGACTTCTGCGCGCTCAACACTTATATCTTGTACGCTGTCGTCTGTCGTTCTCGTTCCTTGTCCCCTCTTTCTCTCTACAATCCGACTTCTTGGCCTGGCTATAACCCGGCTGGCTCTTACCACTTTGGACAAATTACGATTGGCAGCGACGCCAACGTTAACCCCCGACGGTGCACATTTGATAAACCTGATAGTTGCGGGCACAGTAGATTAATATTGGTCATAGTCTGGCGTCTAATCGATGGCTAAATGGTTAGGGGATTTATGGTAGTTGTCAAAAAGGCTTTCGTTTATGTGATGGAGAATGTCACCCCTACTATAATTCGTTATCGGAATCCGAAAACCCCAGATATGTTTTATTATAAGCTCTAGTATATTTAGTTTTCAAATGTACTTATCTCTTTAAATATAATTCAACTATATCTTTGAATTTAAAGTAAAGGAGAAAATGAAAGGATGCCTTTATCCTAATAAAAATTATGTTATTCGTATATTTTGTCTAACTATTAAAGCAACTTAATTCCTAAGGAATGTTAACTTCAATTCTCCATGCTCACATAAGAGATGTGAACACATTTGCAAAACAGTTTATCGCCACAAATCCAATCCACATGTGTTTGAAGATATTTATTGAACTTAGATATGGGCAATGCTAATTAATTCTTTGAGAGCAAATGGAGCCCTGTTCCTTATCGGCGACTTCCCTTATTTTCTTTGTTACATTGACACCTCGTTATCAAAGTCGCTTATTGTGTTGCTTTTAATCGTTTGCGCTACAGGCGTAAGTGGAGCAGTCTTCTGCCCGTCTCAACAGAGTGAGTAGGTACTGTACTTACACTTATTGCGCCCTCTTATTGATCGTTCCATGCTTCTGTAGTGTTAATCACTAGACCCCAACCATCGCGATGAAACACGACGCGAAAATATAGCACTTCAAAATGATAGATTCTGAGTGTTTGTCGTGTCTTATTGATGTAACAAATTGTTATCAAACTGAATACTATACTCTAGAATAAGCTAATAAGTTGCATATTTTAAAATATATATTAACCGATAACATTCTAACCTTTCGATTCGGACTAAGCTTAATAAGTTTCTAAAATTGATCTTGTGTTGGGAAAACCAAATTTATTTAATTGGTAGGAGTAATTAAACAGGGCGGAGACAAAATCATGCTGGCAATTAAATTTTAATGTTTTTAATGTTTATTATATTTTGGCTCATCCTCTGTTTTAATCACCTGATAGGAAAATCTATTAAATTATATTCTGTTTATTGGGCATGAAGTCATTAAATTAGTTAACTGATAAGAGAGCTCAAAAAATTAGACCAAGCGTGTCATCGAGCATTGATCTGCCTTTCTGGCAATGGTCTGGTCGAGGACTTTGGGATTTTTATTTATATGTGGATTCAATTGGCAACAAGTCCAATATACCCAAAGCAATTCGGTGTCGCAGTACGGGAAACGAAAGCCGACAAACATCGTGCAAAATGTCAGGCGAGCAACAACGATAAATGATTACTTAAATAACACTTGCCGGGGTAAAGAAGGCAGTTTGGGGGTGGTTGGGGGTGGTGCAACGATGGTGGGGAGAGTGAGGGTACCATTGTTAATGTACGACTTACACCCACACACCCTCAGGCCAAAGGCATGCTTATTAAACTTTTATGAGTGCAAAATACCACAAACGACACTCTCCTCAAAGAAATCGTGAGTGTGTGCGTTGTTTATAAAAAATTGAATAAGAAAAATACAAAATGTACGGCTGGCTGGCACAAATGTTGAAGCAGCAGAAAGCAAAAAGCGAAAAGAACAGCCAGAAACAACAAAGGCAGAACCCTCGTTCTTGGGGACTCAAACCGAGGGTTAGAAGCCACCAAGGGGCCGGGAAAATTTTACTGACCTTAAACACAACCCGATTGGTAATAAAGTCCAACGTCTTCGCTACTTACCTCAAATACATAGCTTTAAATATGACATGAGCAACATTCAATTAGGTATTTGTGTGTCAATAAATAATTATTTAAATTGATTTAATTTGCATAGACCTTTAGCGCAAACCAATAGACCTTTTGGCGCAAAAAATGTGTGGCTGCGTTTCTGGACGGTCTTAAAAAAGGGTGCTTCGAAAACGAAAATTTGAACATTTGGCAAGTTATAGATAGTGCGATTCCTTATACCGAGGTGTCACTGTGTCTTCCAGTTGTCTCACGTTTTATGATACGTAGTTACAAACCTTCTTATCAGTGCCGGGCTGCTGCCATAAAACTTTCCACTGGATTCTCTAAAGCATTTCAGTTCGCAAGAAAATGGGGATCTTTTCTATCTGGCCCATATCTTGTTTATACGCCCACCTTGCAGATAACACGTTTTCCAGAATTTTCGCTGTGGCAATACGCCAAATTGTGTGTGCATAATAATTTTGGGGATTATTCTCAATCTATATCTGCAGATTGTTTATCCCAGAGATTTCGCAGCGTAGATATACAAAAATGTACAAAGATAAACAAAATGAAGTAACTTTTGCCCGATTTTCAGTGCCGATGAGTCATTGCCAAATGCTTATCTAAGACGCGCCTATTTGGCTTTTACTAGCTCAGCATTAATTACACGGCTAAAAGTGCAATTGGGCCTTTTTTTGTTGTTCTCCCTCTTTCTCTCTATCTCTCGCTGTATTTCTCTGTTTGTTTGCGATTCGGTTTTTGTTTGACGCCGTCAGCCGAACGACATCAGAAATTCAGTTTTTTGTGTGGGCAGCTGGTCGGCGAGAGCTTGTTGAGATACAGATACTCATGCACAGATACGGATACATACTAACAAACAATCCGTTGGTCAAGAATGTAAGGATGTATATATGCCATAACAATTGGCTATGTAGATAACTATGAGCTTGGGGTTTTCCCCCGACGAACGCTGAATTGACTTATATTTTTCTTGGATCCGCTGCTTTATATAACCCACAAACAAACGAATGCAAAAAGCCGCCCAACCAGTTTGCTTTTCCCCGCAACGAAACCAAACCACTTTCTTTGCATGCACAGCATTTTCATTGTGCAAAATTCAAGGCTCAAGGTCGCTAGAGACACTGAAAGATTAGACATAGACATAGAATGTTGTTATTGACCTTAATGTACCTTTACTGATTATACAAAATTATGAATTTATAATATCAGTTCTTAGAAGGTGGGTATAATATGAATCCAAACTGTTTTATTTCCCGGCGACTGAAACCGTCGTGTTTTGTTTGTCAGAATATATTAATGTACTTAGTATATGCATTGGATAAACGGCGATTCTCGGAACGCTCGCCGAAAAGATAGACGTCAATGCAAATTCAAGTTTTGCAACTGAAAACATTTTCGCCGTCGAGAGATCGAAATGAATTTATACATACACTTAAAAAATGAAAAAAAAACCTCGTTACACATTTGTTGTGTCCGTGGTTGGAATATACTTGTGTTTGCGTGTGTGACGCGCTTTTAAGGTCTGTTGTGGTATACACGTTTTTAACCCTCTGAAGCCGGCCAGCGACGGCGTTTTCTTTCACCTCTCCATTTGGCCCAGAAGCCCCCGTGGACATGTGTGAACATTTACAACCAGCCGCTTATAAATAACGCCGACTTTAGCGTGTGTGCGGCTGCAACTAAGTAAATATATTTCGCCCTCCAACTCTGCCCCTCCGACTAACTCACATTCTATATGGCGCTATAAATCGCTAATGTCGGCTGTGCGGGGGAGCGGTTGGTGGTTGGGTCGCCAGGTAACTACCGGTTATCGCGGCTTTTGCGGTTAACTGAACGCCGACTGGTGGTGTACCTCTAATGCAAAGCATAAAACAGGCATTATTATAAAAGATGATTTTTTTTAATTCTTTAATTTTCATTACATGTTCGATGTTTGAATTTATCCATTTTCTCTTGTGCACCTATACTTTTCGACTATTTCTGAGACTTAAAATGAACATGTACTTTGGGTTATTTTCTGAAAATTGTATTTTGAAAAATAACCAAAAAGTTAAATACATTATACTTTCACCATTAACATAAAAGCTTATAAAAATTGCACTCTTTGCTTTGTACTTCGTTTTTATAACCAAAGTTTAAAAAGTTTTTAGCGAGTTAGTAAAAAAAAATTGTTTCATTATATATTTATATTTACTGCCTTAAGTAATCTTCCTTATCTAACAGTTATATTATTCAAACATTTTTTCCCAGTGAGTTTTTTTTCTGACGTCGCATGATAGAGCTATTTTACGCTTTTAGCAGTCAATACCGAAACTTAAAAAAGCCACAAAACTTTTTTATCGCGTCTGCGTTTGTTTCTTGGTTTGTTTGGCTTTGTTTTTGCTTTCATTGAGCGTAGCTCGCTCGTGCGGATGGCGAAACCGAAACTGGATTTGATTGGCGCAGCATCACAAGATAAACTCAGGGCAAAAAAAAAAAAGGATTTGAAATGAGTAACTTTTTTGGAACGCGTTAAGTTTAGTATGTTTAAAGACGTTGATAAGGCATTTCCATATTAGAAAACTACCGGTATGTAGTTTGGTCCCCAATGACGGCACTCCCCCAAAAACTATTGCAAAGGGAATCCCAAGGCCCCCAAAGAGGGCGGAGTCCATCCAGTCATCCGTCCGTGCATTTTGCACTTTAATTATGACCTGCGGTTGGTTATTTGCGATGATAATATACACCAGCTGTGCGTAAATTAACATAATAATTCCATTAGCCAAATTTCATAATAATATGTTTATTGGCATACAAATTTTTGGCATTCGGTCACTAGTTTTGCAGTTCCCACTAAACAGAAAGTCCAGTCGCTTTTCCTCGAAATAGTAGAGGGCTATTTAAAGTTGGCCATCTGACCTGATAAGTGTCTTGTTCAGTTGCTCGACAAGTTTTCCGCCTAATCCATACGCAATCTTTCGTGGCAATTGATTCATCAATGCCTTTTGGCCATCGTGTTATCAGAGCATGGTAATAATGTGAGGAATAAGGCAAATTTCCAGCAAACACTGATTATTCTAACTACTTCGGCGTAATTTTCATATCATTCTTAACGGTTCTCCGTTCCGACTTTATCATTCTCGTTTCGGCCTTATCAATTGAAAAGTTTGGGGTATAAAAGTAAGGTTTTAAATTGGGGAAGCCTTTAGTTTAGTTTCCTCGATCGATCGGTAAAGACCTGCTCAAATCTCATCCTATTTAAACATAACTTTTGTTTGTTTTTCTGTGATTTGTTGTTGTTTATGTGACATATAGAGTATATAGAGCCCGACTGGCTATCGCTTATTGATTGTTTGTAAACAGTCTGCTCGATCGCTTCGCAGGTGGCTGCGAACAGGCTCAGCTCCTCTCAGATAACCCAAGTGGGATCGGGATCAGGGAGAATTCTTCGTAAAGCTGGTCAATCGATCCGCGAAATCAACACGTCCGTCAGTGCGAGGTTTTTCTTTTGTTTTTCCTCAAGTTTTTTCACTGATAACCCTCGGAGTGGTTGACTCATCATGTAGCTGTATTAGTTTGCAGCTTTTTAAGTTGATTAAAAGCGGAAAATTACTTCTAAGGCCGCATGTGTGAGCTCCTAATGAGAGAGAAGACAAAAAAACTTTTGTCAACTTCGCGGAGTTGCTTCCAACTGACTTGGCACATTAGAGGCAACCAATTCAGAACCTTGAACTACTTTGCTTTGGACTAGAAAGCGTCGAAGGGCAGAAACAGCAGCAACATCAGCAGCATTAACTTATGAATAGAACTAAACCTGCCTTCGAGTATAGGGAGTATACCTTCCACACAATCATATTGGCTCCATCTACCTAAGCTGACTCCCTGATTCTCATACCTAGTGAGCCGCACATCCGAATTCGGTTCCTGGGGCAGGTATCGCGACCTGTTTTTTTGTGATCATCCACCTCTCACTCGAGTTGGTCCCTTTGGCTTGGCTTAGGCTGCATTTTCGGGCCCGTTTCGGTCATTAGATCCTTATCTAATTTCGTTGCCTGGACTGGAAACGGACTGGTTTGCCTTGTTTACACCACTCTTTCAACTTCTTCGTTTTCTTGTGCCATTCATATTTGCTACGTGAGCGTCGCGCTGGCCTTTTTTCCGGGTAACTACAGAAATTAGCGTATCGACCACAAAAGCAAACACGCTTCGGTTCGGGTTTTGGGTTTGGTTCTTCAGTCTTGAGTCTGGACCTGCGTCTGGGTTACCGCTCATTTACGGTCACGTTTCGACGACAAGAAACTGTCGCCGGTGGCTTGGACCGGGCCAGGGGCCAAAGGAGGAGATGAAGAAGGGCTCGGCTAGTGCCTGCCTTATCAGCACCATTTAGCATGGCCATAATGAGTCATATTCCCCACGGATCGGACTCGCCCGGCGGTGCAATTAATTTTCACACCTGTTGTTCGAAGAGTCTCGAATTCACCTCACGCGTTGTTTTGCTTCGTCTTGTTTACTTTCTCACTTGCGTGCGAGCTGGTTTTTCTCGCTGTGTTTGCCATTTGCAATAATTTTTTGTTATGGTAATTAAAGGCTAAAGCCGGCCTATTCGCCATTATTCTGCTCTTTATCTCGTTTACAAAGCGATGTTCCATGACCCAACGATACGATGGGGGATCTGCTTCCTGCTCTGCTAATACTTACGACTAATTAAATTTCCATTACCAAGTTAGCACATTTTCTAAACAAGCTTAATATTAATGAAATTATTTTAGGCAAGGTAAACAAACTATATATATACAAATCTTTAAAATATCATACTGTTTTTATCTTGAATCTTATTAGTTTTGGGTAATGTAAACTACCAATTTAAGTTCGTAACGTAAACAACCTTATATATATCAGTTTTATCTGGTGGTTATAGTTCTGGAAGGCGTAACAAAGATGTTTACTGAACAGCATTTTCTTTACATTTCGTTATGACACAAACATCGTTTTGTTTGTGTGCATTTGGTTATTTGACCAAGGGGGACCCCAAACCCTGAAAGATAATTCAACAATTGGCTGTCTTTATGGGTACATGACTTGCAGTTCGAGCTGCAATGCAAATAGTGTTAATATCTCATTGGGTTGTACATATGCCTTTGGATCCCTCAAAACCATTCCATCACATCACATCTTAATTCAATATTAGGAGTCATTATTTTTTCAAAACCACGCACTTACCCTCATGTACATATGCTTGTGTATTTATAGTTTCCTCCTAACCATACTAAAATCCAAACCAAATCAGAAAAACACGATCTCGTTCGCATGTATGCGATTGCATTTTATGGACACATCCGACTCATTTGCCTGTCGAAGCCAGCCGGACCTTGATCGGGCCAATAGCCTCGAAAAAAACAGTCCCACAACAGAAACTGAGATCGGGCCAAAAACCAAATCCCAACCGTTGCACTGAATACCATACCCATTCAGCTGTCACAGCTAAGCATCAAAAATCACAATACCATCATCATATCCATCGGGTAGAGCAAGAGCATGAGCCTGTGGAAGCGCGTCTCCAGTCATTCCGACTGCGAGCAGCGTATGGCGGCCTACTACGAAGAGAAGGGCCTGCTCGACCTGCGCCTCTGCTTGGCGCCCTGGATCGAAGACAGGATAATGTGAGTAGAGCGGGAAGTTGGGGGGTAATGGGGTGATTGAAGCCAGCAGCAGGATACGACTAAGTTCGCTAAGCTCCATGAACAGGGCATGATCTAATAGCCGATTATCTTCTACACCCTCAGGTCCGAGCAGGTCACACCCAACTCCACCGAGCAACTAGAGCGCGTGTCCCTGAAGTTCAACGAGGACCTGCAGCAGAAGCTACTGTCCACGCGCACCGCCACCGACCAGGCCCTCAAGTTCCGAGTGGTGGAGCTCTGCGCCCTCATCCAACGCACCTCCGCCGTCGAGCTGTACACCCACCTGCGCAGCGGCCTACAGAAAGAGCTGCAGCTGGTCACCGAGAAAAGCGTGGCTTCTACCACAGGCCAATCGATGCCGCTCAATCCCTATAATATGAACAACTCGCCAATGGTTACCGGCTATATGGACGCCAGTGATCTGATGGCGGTGACCAACAGCTGCAGTCCGTCAGTGGTTCAGGGCATCCACAACGTGCAAAATACTGGCGGCATTGCCTCGCCAGCCCTCGGCATGGCCACACCCAAGGTGGAGCTGTACGAGGTGCAGCACCAGATCATGCAGACCCTCAACGAATTCGGCAACTGCGCCAACGCCCTGAAGCTGCTGGTCCAGAACTACAGCTACATGTTGAGCTCCACAGCCTCGCCGAACGCGGACGTGGCCTTCAGAAGCCTGATGGAGGAGAAGGCCACCATCGTGATCACAATGCGTCGCAGCTTTATGTACTACGAGTCCCTTCACGAGATGGTCTTACACGAGCTGAAGAACTGGCGCCACCAGCAAGCGCAAGCCGGCAACGGAGCCCCATTCAATGAGGGCTCCCTGGACGACATCCAGCGCTGCTTCGAGTTGCTTGAGACTTTCATCGCCCACATGCTGGCTGCCGTTAAGGAGACGATGCGCGTACGTCTGGTCAGCGACGAACCGGAGCTAACACACCTGCTCGAACAGGTGCAGAACGCGCAAAAGCACCTGGTGTGCTCCGCCTTCATCGTGGACAAGCAGCCGCCGCAAGTAATGAAGACCAACACACGCTTTGCGGCCTCTGTGCGCTGGCTCATTGGCTCCCAGCTGGGCATCCACAACAATCCGCCCACAGTAGAGTGCATCATCATGTCAGGTGACGACAAAATTGGCTTCTCCTGAATAACATATGAGACTTAATTAATTCCTATTCCCATCCACAGAGATCCAAGCGCAACGCTACGTCACCCGCAATCCGCAGATGGACAACACCGTGGCCGGGCAATCGTCGGGCGAGATACAGAACGCCTCGAGCACCATGGAGTACCAGCAGAATAACCATGTGTTCTCCGCCAGCTTCCGCAACATGCAGCTGAAGAAGATCAAGCGGGCAGAGAAGAAGGGCACCGAGAGCGTCATGGACGAGAAGTTCACCCTGTTCTTCTACACCACCACCACAGTAAACGATTTCCAGATCCGCGTGTGGACCCTGTCACTGCCGGTGGTGGTGATCGTGCACGGCAACCAGGAGCCACAGTCTTGGGCCACCATTACTTGGGACAACGCGTTCGCGGAGATTGTGCGCGATCCCTTCGTAATCACCGATCGTGTCACCTGGGCCCAGCTTTCGGTGGCGCTAAACATTAAGTTCGGATCTTGCACAGGGCGCTCTTTGACTATTGATAACCTGGACTTCCTATGTAAGTGGTATACTATAGATACTCAAATTTGATGCTTATCAATCCGTATTGTGCTTATGGTTATAGACGAGAAGCTCCAGCGTGAGGAGCGGTCCGAATACATTACGTGGAATCAGTTCTGCAAGGAACCCTTGCCCGAGCGGTCTTTCACCTTCTGGGAATGGTTCTTTGCCATCATGAAACTCACCAAAGATCACATGTTGGGCATGTGGAAGGCTGGTTGCATCATGGGCTTCATTAACAAGGTCAAGGCACAGGATGATCTGCTGCGCTCAGTCTGTGGCATCGGCACCTTCCTGCTTCGCTTCTCCGACAGCGAGCTAGGTGAGTGCAGGTTCGGTTGATGCTTTCACGGGTTTGCTAAAACTTCCTTTGGAACTTCAGGTGGAGTCACCATCGCGTATGTGAACGAAAACGGGCTGGTCACCATGCTGGCGCCCTGGACAGCACGTGATTTCCAGGTGCTGAGCCTGGCCGATCGCATCCGAGATCTCGATGTGCTCTGCTGGCTGCATCCCAGCGATCGCAATTCGTCTCCCGTGAAAAGGGACGCCGCTTTCGGCGAGTTCTACTCGAAGCGTCAAGGTAAAATTGGAATCCTAGAAGGCACGGTCTAACACTCTTAATCAGAACCTGAACCCGTCGTTATAGATCCCGTGACTGGATATGTGAAGAGCCAATTGCACGTCCACGTTTGCAGCAACGGGGACAACGGATCCACTAGTGGAACCCCGCATCACGTGTCACAACAGGATGCCATGCAACTGGGAAAGTAAGTTTTGCATGTCGACGCAACATCTAACACGCCAATCCGACCGCCAACAGCAACAAGAAAAACAATAATCCACTTGTTACCTATTGAGACTTTTCCCCTTGGCTTGAGTGCCTGAGTAGAGAACTAATCCTCGACCCGAGATGATCGACAAAGCCTCTATGTCATGGCTGATCTGCCTTTTATGTCTCAGCTTTCTTTGCTTTACTTTGCGTTGTTTTGATTATGATTTTGACCAAAATGTTTAACCAGATTGCAATACTTTGAATTCGAAATGAAAACGTTAAAAAGGGGCAAAACGACGAAACCGAAAGCGTTTGCCCCCTAACTAACCCAAAATTGAGGCTTTGTTGTTATACGAACTAATAAAATTAATTGGGAATTCTGGCTGAGCACTTCGATGGGCTCTTCAAGTCACTTGACTCTACTTATTTGTACTTACACAGAATCTTACCTACCCTACTCTTTGTTTATTTTCATTTTCAACCTTCTGCAACTATTGATTTTTGGGTGACGGTTCAGTTTCTCGCCTGAGAGCTTCTGCAATTACTATAGCCCTAGCGTAGCACGAACTGAGGAATCAGATTCCGATGCTAGCGAAACGGCCGAGGCCCTAGAGAGAATCGTAGAACGCGCTTCTCCCGACGATCCCGTGATAAATGAGATCTATGAGGCCATAATGATGAGCGGCTCTAGACAGTACGTTACCAACTATTTAGCATAAGCGGTGCCATCGCCTTTAACTCAGACCATCCATCCACAACTGATGGCTGGGTATTGGGCGTAAGTTGGTTGTACCACTTACCGAAAGGTATAACGCTTTAACTACGTTTAGCATCCAAATCACTCAATCCAGATCACTTCACGCGCTCACTGGTTGATAATTCCCGAGCTGTTCGTCCGCATTCATTCACGCCCTAATAGCGCTCTCATCCGATCGATCCGTCCTGACCACCATCTCCTCTATTCCCCTAATCGAATAGCCGCTCGTCCCGTCATTCTCATTGCAAATGCATCGCCTCATGAGCAGCACATGCCAAAAATCACTTCCTCAATCCATTACCTTCAGATGGGCTCTTCATGGAGCTTAATAAATATAGTTCTAGTCATTCGCAAATTAGTCCTAAGAGATTTAACCAATTATTTATGTTACGTTTAAGTGAGTGTTTTTTATTGTTCATTTTAGTTTCAAAGTATTGCCATCTCTTTAAACTTTTCAGCCTTTACTTAAAGAATTTTTGTTAAAATTAAGCCACTTTTAAACAACTTTAAATTATAAACCCTCTAACCGCTCATGTATATCCTCTTCTATATTTCGCTTTGAACGCAGCTTACAGAATAGCACCATCATGCACCTATAAACTGACCTAAGCCGATCTGAGATAACCAAACATCCGATTTTGGCAGTTTCGGGCTCAATATAATCTTACAAATTTGACAAATGTTCAAAACTAATCGTTGTTTTATATATTAAAACTTTTTGCATGCCCTTTTTTAGGCTTGCATGTTTGTTACTGTTGTAATACTTAATTGTGATTTGATGTTATTGTTATTATATTGAATTCTAACGACACTACAAAGTGTTAGGGACTGGCTTCAATAGAAGCGTTAGGTCATAGAATGTAACATTTTCAAATAACTCAAATATTCATTTCGCTCCGCACTTCTCTGCCATTTCATTCTTATATGCCCTACAATTAATGCATTATCACTACCTTTCCCCCGAGCTTTGATTACGCATGATTATGGTTTTTTTGTCCTGGTTTTTATTCATTAATTAATGTCTTTCTTTTCCTTTTTACCCCAACTTGTTTGAAACTTTTTTAGTGGTGACTTTGGAATGGCGGACTTCGATTCGATGACAAACTTTGAGGTATATAACTAAACTAACTATGAACCATGTAGAAGTCTATGTATAAACGAAATCAGATAAACACCTGAACGTGTGCTGCTATCTTGGAAGTCCGACGATGATGTTTACGCCACCTCAGCGATTGCAACGATATGGCGCATGAGTCATTGTGCTATTCGAAAGTTTTATTTAATGTTATCTAGATGTAATTATTAGACTTGGGAATGCATCGTAGTGCAAGGTTTTGTTTGGTATGTATTTAATTTCTTTACATTGCTCCACCTAAACTATCACCTAAACGCACTTAGCTTTTGTTTGCTCTTGGGGTCAGATCGAAAACTACAGAAAATAAATGAGTTGTTGAATGTATATTCCTAAGATGAGTATAGATAAATTATAAATTTTAATGGAGAGGTTTATTATGCTACGTATTTAATGTTCACGATTGTCTAGTTAATTATTAAACGTATTTTTAACGTTGATTGTCGTTTTACGCTACTTACACATGCTACACACAGTCAAGATGAAAATCTTGAGAAAGTTTAGGGAACTCAAAATGGAAGTATGCTGGTTTCACTGGTCTGGGACCCGATAGCTTTTTAAGACTAGCTAGAAAAGATTAAACTCAGTACAGGAAACGAAATGAAACTACGAATTTACATGCAGATAATCTATATACGTATATGTACACAGACGCTTTTCTGCCACCAGTGGTGAATATATATCATATATTTTTGAAAAACAAGATAGCTGCAGATTTTACATGTTAATTGTGAACCTACTACCTTTTAAGAAAATTTTTTTTTATCAATTTTAAACTCACGTCCTACCTTTATCCTTGCAGCTTTTGTGAAACGCCAAACCACAAGAACAACATCAACCACAATAAGATCTACAAGAGCAATGCATGCAAATCGCGACACCTCAACACAAACAAACACCTTCAGCACACAATCAGAATATTGTCTATTTCGTGATTATGAACGTGTTTGACTTATGCAGAACTTAGAATTTCTGTTTTGTAAAAACCTTTGGAATGTGTCCGCATGTTAATCGTTTTATATTTTTATATATACCTTTATATATATATAGATACACATATAATTTTATTTTTGTACTAAGACGTGTTCGTCTGTGACAAAGCATTATGTTTAAATTATATTGACGAGAGAATCGGTTTAGTTAGTGAGTAACTATTTGTTGAATCTAAATTTTTGATTTTGATTTTAATTTTAATCGACTAATTTTAAAATTTTGAAATACGAAATACGAAATACTTTGCGTGCTAAGCCTAAGTTAAACGAAAGATGAAAACAAATCAACGAGTGGAGCAACGCAAGGAATGTTTGCGTTAATTTTAGTTTTAATCTAAGTAACATTGTGAAATGCTTTATGTGAACCCCTCCTCTATTGGCTTCCAATGCTGAAAATGCGCAAAAATTTAACCAACCCATGTATATTTTTTTTTTAAACATGTTTATTTGAGTCAGGGCAAAGTTTGCAATGCATTTCAAATGCGCCAAATGCGGTTGCCTTTTTAGTCAGTTATCAGAGACAAGAGAAGCACTCGACCTTTGTATGAAAGATCGTAAACATAATCATTAATGTAAACAACAAAAATAATAACACAACACAACACTACACTACACTTAGCTTTTTATGTGAACCTTAAGAATTTTATAAGAATTAAGTACACCCCCAAATAAATAAACAATTCAATAAACATTTGAAATACTTAAATGCGAATGGAAACGGAATTCCTTTTGTGTACTCACAATTTGAGAAACAAAATTTAATAATGTGTACGTAAAGTTTTTAATGGTTAATTGTGAAAACTAGCGCACACACACATTCCCCAAAAACTATACACAAATTTAAACACCCACACACACAAACTACACATACACAGAATCACTTGAGAAAGGCTCGCCAAAAACAATGTTGATATTTGGATATTACTAATGTCCTATACTTGCTGTGTATTTGAAATAATTGTGTACATTGTGTAAATGTTCTAAATGTAATTACAAACGCTAATTGGGTGTCCTATTTTAAAAACTACAGTGGAAAATAACTAAAGAACTATTCTTGTCAAAATGGCCAATAAAGATTTGATTTTAAACATTAAATTGAATGAGTTGATTGTGTATTTATTTCGATTTCATGCCAAAGGTTAAGGTATCACACGAAGCCAGATGAGCTTGATAAAGGGCATATGCATCTAGTTCTTGGTGGAGCAGCACTTGTCCTTGGGTCCGTTCTTGCAGGAGCACTGGCACTGTTGACTGCAGGCGCAGTTATCGCCGCATTTTGTGGCCGAGCACTGGCAGTCTGAGGATTAAGTTTAAAAAATAGTTATCTGCTTGGTTTGGCCGCTGAACACTTGTATACTTACTTGTTCCACAAGCCTTGCAACCCATGTTGTATTTTTTAGACTTCCGTTTGAGGATATTAAAATGAACTTATTAACTTTGCTGCTAGAAAACACTGTTTGATGACTGCAGCTGAGTGGCCAAGCCTTCTTATAGTACATCCAGCGCTTTGCACACCACCGAGTCCATCACATTCTTATCAGGGCGTGCGCAAATTAGCCTTATCATCGCTAGGCACAGAAATCATTATGTTATTTTGCGCACGTTGATCGCGCGTAACTGCACACGGCTTTCTTATCTTATCAGCCAGCACGGCTCATGGTTTCGATTGGTTGGATGGGGTATAAAGAGCAGAGTGCTGCCACCAGAAGTCATCACAAAGTTTCAACACCTCCAAGTTTCGGTTACTCTACAGACAAGCAAACCAAAAAACCAACAGGATGCCTTGCAAGGGATGCGGAAACAGTAAGTAGCAGTCCACCGGAATGGGGAAATCAAGCTAATATAATTGAATACTAATAAAATGAACCCTTTAACTCTAGACTGCCAGTGCTCAGCCGGAAAGTGCGGAGGAAACTGCGCCGGAAACAGCCAATGCCAATGCGCCGCCAAGACGGGAGCCAAATGCTGCCAGGCCAAGTGATTGGCGTCTATATAAAGCCCTATTTATATAGTTCTTATTAGCTAATCTCCGACTGAAGCTGAATAACACCCGTTGTAATGTTATAGTAAATTTAATTATTTATTAATTTGAACCCCAGAGAACTACAGGCTAAAATACAACCATTAGGACTTCTAAAATAGTACTCTATTTTTTGCCCTGTTGAAGTTAAAGAGTCACATTTTTATGAAAATGTTTAAAAGGTTTTTGTAAATCTGTAGGAAAAACTAAATTCATTAAAAGTCACTAAAATAAGAAACCAATTTTGTTAATTTAGACCAGCATTTAATTATAAAGCTGTTGTTTTATTCCACTCAATTTAAATATAACTTTATAATTTAAAGCCTGTGGAATATTGAAGATATCGCTTATGCAAAAGCTTTAGGAATTTAAACAAGAACGTATTTAAATTAAATCTTATAAATAAAATTACAATTTCAGCTCACTCTGCACTAAAGTACCATGAATAAATATGAAAAACGACTCAAATAATTTCAGAGGATTTACGGAGGAAGTTTTAATTCGAGGCCTCACTTTTGGTCATAAGTTTATAATCTTTGGGGTTTATTTAATTTGCAGCCAAGCAAAACAGCTCGCCACCATTTATGTGTCCCATTTAGCCAAGTGTGGTTGGCGGTGCGTTAGTTTAAGGGCCATCAGGCTGTGGAAGGGCACTCGAGTCGCCGCAGTCTTTAAATGTGCAACTTGGAGGGGCGAGTACTCAGTAGTGAGTACTGAGTAGTGAGCAAGGAATGCATGTCTGAGTGCCGTGTCCTTGCCAGAGTCCTTCAGGATGCGTGCCGTAAGCAGCCTGACAGGATGGCAGGTAAGTGGATAAGCATCTGGCAGATTGACGGTCGCGAAGGACATGCTGCCTTGTAGTCGATTCGCATCCGAAAGATGCATTAAGCGCGCTAATTGCAATTGACAATCTTATTTCACTAGGGGAGTTGGCACCGTTGGTGGGTGGTGGTGGCTTCTATTTGACACTCTGGGAGCTTAGCTCCTGACCGAATTTTCAATTTCAGCGCTTGTAATGACGTTAAGCGGCGGAAATGGAATCGCGCCTGGTAACTACTGTTTGCGCCAACTCATCAAAGTTAATTCGTATGGGTGGAAGTTGGAGCTATGATGTTTTTACAGCCATTTCCTGTTTGGGTTCAGCCAGTCGAAATGCCAGTCAGCCGTTTCGCTTCCATCATCGCACCTCGTTTTTCTCTATTTGTTTTGTTTTGTTTAGTTTGGTTCTGATTTGCTGGTGGCAGGAAATTCGTGTCACGCCATTTGCCAGTTGGTGCCCGATAAAGTGACACGTTGCCATTGAAAGTTGCAGCTCGCAAGTGGGTCACGCGATGCGTTTAAATCTCGGCTTAGGGCACAAGGGGCGTATACGCGAATTAAGGGACACAGGGCGTATACGCAACTTGTACCCATCACCGCTTTTGGCGGCATTCTTAAAGCGCAAACGCAAACAGTTAATTACGACATTAAGTTTTCATGTCGCAGCAAAGTGTAGCGAAGCAAAGCGGAAACAACTGCAATGCGGGCACTTCGTGAGGACTTTGTCGCCAGCCGAAAAGCGAAAAAGGACGAGAGGAGCCAGCGCATCACTTATGCATAAGAACATTTTAACTTTTCATTGGCCACTTTCGACCCTCGACGGTATAAGGGAAAAGGGAAAAGGGATACGGGATAAGGGATACAGAGCTGGGGACAAAGGAGCAGGAGGACCTGTCTCGTGTTTATCTTTGCGTGTGAATCTTGCCTCCTGGCGATGTAAAGTTGTTCTACGGCGAAATCAAATTATCCACACAAGTGGCGAGAAGTTTGGGCAGGCAACGAAACATAAATTAATGAAATGCACAAAAACTGTGCCCCAACATCCCGTCACACGCCCCTGTTGTGCGCAAATATTCTTAATAATTTATTGCAATTTGTTTGCTAAGCGCTTCGAAACTTCTATGAACTTTTCAACATAAATTAACAGATTAGTCGGCAGCCGTCTACTGTGCGGGTGAGACCTCCCTGCCCATCGTTTTAGCCAGGTGCCCGTTGGTCCGAAAGCCCGCAAAAGGCCCGAAAAAGCCAGACAGACTGCGGCCAGACAGGTCCTGTTTTGGTTTCAGCTCAGCTGCTCCGGTTGTCCCTGCGTTAATTTCCACCTCCCAGCGAGCTGGGAAAACTTTAGACCAGCACGCTCGGAGCTGCGTTTGTGAGCCAACCGCTGTGGCCAACACTATAAATCTTGGCCAATTTGCAAATCTCGCCAGTCGCCATTTGTGGTCTGGTGTGGGGCCAAATCCATCGGGAGTGGGCAACTTGGCTGGTTGGGTATCACACATTCACCATAAAATATATTAATTTATAATTTGTTTTATTGGCTTACCTCTAAGGGAACTTTGGACTTTTTCCTGCATTTAAAAGGTAAAATGTATAACAATATTGGCTCCATACAATGGCCCCAAAAGAATAGAGCAAACTATTGGGTACGAAAACTTGCTCTATAAGATGAGTTTTAAATAAATATCACAAAAGTATGAAATAAATAAATAGTCAGTTTTAGACTCTTCGAGACATGAAAAATGACTAGAGATAATTATAGTTTGCAAGGTGTGGGCACTCTAGTTAAAAATAAAAAAAAAGTGTGCTACAAACGTTGTTGTTTAACTCCTTTTTGAAGTAATGTCTATTAACGCCATTGAATAAATCCATTCATCAATAGCATATTTTTATTTCACAATATGTTCGTTCTTTAAAAACGATTCAAATAAATTAAATAAATATTTAATAAATAAACACAGAAACGGAAATCGAATTGAATAGCAAACAAACAAATTGTCCTGCTTTGTAATGCCCTTTACAGCTGGGAAAAGGACACTAAGTATGCAATGGTATATTAAATGGTGTATCAAACCAACTTTCGCCCAATAAAAAAATGGTTTAGTAATAAAACCCTAAGCCTTTCTTTAAATTGAAAATTTCCTGCACGCAGGAAAATTAAAATTGTCAACAGCGACATTGGTTTAATCCGCTGGCACATATTCGCGTTTAGGTGGAGTGGTCCCAAGTGCGTAATCAAACACGACCACCCACACCCCACTAGCACCCGGTGGGTGGCCTTGGAAGCGCCTGTCTGCCTGGGCGATTATCAATCGCTTTGCCGGCACTCTTCGCACCGGTCTTATTTTTATTTATTTTTTTACTTCGTTTTCAGTTTTCGATTTGTCACTGATTTCCCCAAGCACTTTGGAGGTTGAAGAGCGTGTAAATGTGTCACCTCGTGATTGCCATAAATAAGGCCAAGCAAACCCATTAGGGCAGCACATCCTGTGGTTGCAGGAAGTCCCTTTCCCGTCCTTTCCCTTTGACCCCGCCAATTGTGGGTGCTGCCCTTTGTTGACAGCAATTTCATATGCACGAATGCACCATTAGACGATGTGACACCCATTGCAAAGACAAAGGCGGGTCGGGACACGCCCCCGAGCCGCCGTATCCGCCTGTCAGACGAGCCAACAAACAAAATTACAGTTTTGTCCTTGTTGACCGTTAGATTTATTATAAAACTTTAATGCAACTTTTGCAGCATATGTGTGTGTGTCTGTGCGGGTCTGAGTGTGTGTTAATGCTGTAATGTTGTTAATTAAGTGAACATGGTCAACGCCCTGACCTGGCAGCTGTCCAGAATGTACATATCCTGTCAGTCGCCCCCTCAAAGCCGCCCAACGTGTCAGTTGCAGCCGGAGAACTGCAGGGGAAGGGCTACCGAGGGACACAGAATGTCAGCGGTGATTCCAAAGCATTTCCGAATGCCATCCGGCAGAGCTTTGGGTTGGTCCGTCCGTGCCTTATTAGCTAACCGTGCACGTGCACAAATCAATTTGGCTCTGCCGTGCTCGATTTTCTGCAGCCAAGCTAAAAACAATCATACGAAGCGTTGTCCAAACGGCAATCAAAGTCAACTGCTTACACTGTAAAAGGAAATCACACACTGAAGTAAAATTATGTTTGCCTTTTATAGCTTCCATTTCTATTTTATTTAAATGTAATCGGATTTTGGATTTATCTTTTGAATTTACAGAGGGTAATCAAAAAAAAAAAAAATGATTTTAAAACAACACTAATTTTCATCCTTTTTTTTTAAATAATAATCAATTTCAATTTAAATCCTATATTATTAAAAAAGAATTTATGTAATAATAAATTTGAAATGAAAACTCTACAAAAGAAATGGTTGATCAGGTTGAAGTTTTTCGAAAAGCAATGGTTGGATTGGTTTATATTATATATATAAAAGTTAATTCAGTTTTTTTTAAGGTATTCAAATTAGATACTTTATAAATACTATTTGAAAAAGGCAGCTCAATTGATCTTCTTAAGTTTTTACTGATAAATTAGAAGTGAAAGGAATGTTATTTCTAGTGCAAGCACAATCAAACTACGTGGATGTCGTAGTGTGTTTTTAATAAGCAATGGCTTAGAAGCAGCTTCAGTTGCTCATCCAACCAGAAGAGGGCCCAAGATTGCTTTAGTTTCGGTAAGTATAATGCAGTTTGTGCCCACACACTCAGTCAGCTGATGCTTATCTATCGCAGCCCTTGCCAACCGTCATGATAAGTGCACTTCATGATGTTCAAATTATATGGCTGCCCGGGACCGAGTGCCATCAGCATTACGCCCTCAAACTCCAAGCATACACACACACACACACACACACATGGCATTGTTGCATAGACTATTAAACACACTGTAAGCAAGAGGGGGGGAAATGCATTTTTAATGCAGCGCAAATGTGGCAAGTGCTTGGCCAGGCTTAGAGGATGCTTGCTTTTAGTTACCCAGAATTCGTGGCGGCTCTATGCACACTCTCTTAAGCGCACTGGCAAACTTTCGACTGCTGCTGTTGCTGCATTTTTCCCAGGACCCAATTAAACACCAATTAGTGGGGGCTTGAAGTTTGGCTTAGCCAAACTTTTGATTTTTTCAGCATTGATTTGTTGAACTCTTGCTCTGCGCCTATTTAACGACCCTCGATTGGACCCAAGTATCGAGATCGTTTTCACGTAATTGCCGCTCTAATTGTAAGTGGCTCTTGACGACAGCCGGGGCGGAAATTAAATCAGTGCGAACTACTCTAATGTGGTTTGAAACAATCACGTGACTTGGATGCCCAATGCCGGATGATAATGTCATAAATTAATCAAACCAGATCTACTGCCCGGCATCCGCACACTTAAGCTGTTGATTGGGTGGGTAAACACA